GGTAATGGTGGACGATATTCTGTAGGCAAATGCCAATCGAAATGAACAGATTTTTTTGTTCGATTATTGGTATTATTATTATTGTTATTATTAGTTTTATGTGATTTTAAACAACTATTGCTAATCGTAGTTCTAGAGAAAATAGAATAATTTATTTTTATGTTGTATAAGAGAAAAAGTAAATATAGACAGATTGATGTGAAATTCACTTACGATTCTATTTGATCTCGTTGTTGTTTTAATCCATCGTTATTATTTGTCATCATCGGACGAATTGATGTGTTGATAGGATTCATTGAATATGTTTGATTATGATGACGATTAGGCGAAATTGACATAGTCATCATACTACGTGTTGGTATTGTTGTTGTTGTTGTTGGATGACCAATATCCTCTCGAGACGAATCAATCGTTGATGTTTGTGTAGTAAACTTTGCATGTTGATTTAAAGATGACCCTATGAGAGACGATGACGACAACGACGACTCTTCATGACCTTTGAAACAAGTGAATGAAAGGGGCGAAGAAGAGGAAGAAGTTGTTGGCGATTGTGAAGAGGAAATTGAAGATGTTAAAGTAATGTTGTCTGTTTTTAAAATTGATGATAAAGATTTAGAATCAATATAATCGAAATTTCTTTGTTGATATTCTCTTAGTAATGGCCGTGTCGATGTTGAATAAATACGATCATAATTAAAATTTTTACGTCGTGAATATATAGCTGAAGGCAAAGATGTTGTTGTATTTGATGTTGTCAGTGATGATACTGATGATGTATCACTAATAAAATCACTATTATCAATTATTGGTGGTGATATACGTTTTGGAATTGGTAATATTGTATCTAACGGAGATAATGATCGTGTTGGTGATGTTTCACGTTGTAACTTTGATAAACTTCCATTACGATTCTTTATCAAATGAAAGAAAACGAGTTAAGAAATCATTTTATATATGAAATACATGGTATATGTCTTCAAAAGAAAAGTCAATTGCATTATGCAATCGTACTTTCATTAACACTATAGACTATTAGACATTAACATTATTTATGCTAACATGAAACATTAGTTTAATGTCTATCTAAGTGAAATGTCCTGAAAAATCTTAATTGATTCTTACCGATGATTGATTCGAAATTCTATCAAGAAAAATACGATCGTATTTTTCATTAAATGAAACAGGCCGTGTAAGAGATATATGTTGTGGTTGAGAAGTTTTTATTATAGATGCTGATGATGATGGTGATGGTGGTGGTCTCATACGTATTCGATTGGAATTTTTATTTAATGGAGAATAAACAGTATCGGTTCGTTTACCCGTAGGTGGTAAACCACATTCATGTTGTCCCATTGGACTCCAACTAACACGTTTAAGATAACTTTTTTCTTTAATAAATTCATTATTTCCAATTGCTTTAACAATTTCAGTATAGATATATTCTGAAGGTGACGATGATTTCTTATCGGTTGAATAAGTGATATGATCTTTACGAGAAGGACGGTATTGAGTAGATGACTGATGATTTGTTGATTTACATTCATCAATAAACAAACTTGTATTGTCTGTAATATTTTCAGAAAATCTCATTTTCTGATCTTTGTTTAATTACGTTTTTTAGAATAAAATAACAAATACCTAAAAAACAAAATTCTATTAGTAATATTTAATGTACTAAGAAAATACATGTTTACATACTAATTATTTAACTATTATTTTTTGTTGTCCTTTCTTTCAAAAAAAAAAACAAAACGCTAATATTGACATTTATATTCGATAACGGCTATGATAATCTTAAAGAACTATTTAGTCCGAAATCAATTAAGCATCACTAGAAATGTTCTTGATGTTTTATCGTATTACGCATAATATTTATGATAATACGTAACTGTCTGAACTATTAAGACAACTTGTATAATTGAAGCGTCTATTTTAGCGTAAAATTACTTTTCTTATTACATATTAGACATTAACGAAGGACAGTGACGAATATTCTATATTGTGTATATTATATGAGCTCGACTACAGGTAAAAATGACGATCAAGTACATACTTATTATTGTAGAATAACCGGATCATTTCTTTATTTTATTTTCAACACCTGGCCATATCGGCGCAAGAGAGAAAAAAAACCCACACATATACATAGATGATATAATGCTCAATAAAAGAGAAAAAAAAAAAAAAAAGAAAGAACCACTTTAGTTATTTGTTCAATAACGTAAATGACAAGCAATTGTCGTTATTACTAGCCTACCATAATGATCAAACGAGCGAGAGCTTAAACAAAGTAATAACCACGACAAAAAAAAGGAAGCATTCATTACATAAGTCTACCTCCTTACTGGCCTGCTCGTTTTTTTTTACTTAAACGACTCGTATAGAATGAGCGCACCGAGGTCGATTTATTACTGACAAACGGGTCGCTCAGCTTCTTTTATATATACATACATATATATATATGTATATGTATATGTATGTATGTATATTCATACCATCCGAAAAAAAAACATCAAACCATGTATAAAGTAGGATGATGAAGGTTTAAACCACATTCAAACAAAGATGATGCTAGCCTATAGTTATAGCTATTATTCTCACCTATTATTATATAATGTTTATATGTATATATGTGACAATTGACACCTTTAAACTTACACTATATGTTACCGATAATATTTATCATCTTCATTTCATTGTCTCTTGGTTCTTTCGTCTTTTTTTGAAATGGTAATAGGAGACAACGATGTGTACATCATCAAACTAATTCGATACCTGGGACATTTGACGATGTCTATTCTTTCGTCACAGGTAATCAGTTCTCTATATTCTTTTTATTGCTTGCTTGCTTCTTCTTCTTGTTCTTCTTCTTCTATCCAATATGAAATAGATATTTGATTTGAAAAGAAGGTTGAAGGTAAATACTTGTATGTACGTATATAGTAAAAGGTGATATGAATCAATTTAAAATACATTGCCGTATAGAAGAGATATATCTGATTGATTAATGTAACTTGATTTGTGCAATGAAGGAGCGGTACTTATAGATACTGATGTTCACTATAGAAGCATAGATATGTATACAAGGCAATAATGAAGGTTATAACAAACTGGAAAAAATACATCTTGAAAAAAGATGACTAATTTAATTACTATCATCATCAGACGATGACTCCTTGAATTACCAAAATATTTTCAAATGAGTTCGGCTTCTTTTTT